TAAACTCTGTGAAGAAGGTATTATCATTATCCCATTTTCCAGGTGAGGGAACAGGAACATAGAGGTTAAGGGACTTGTTCACAGTCATATAACTAGAAAGTAGTAGAGCCTATAGGTGTCTGACCCCAAGGTGGAATGCGAGCATCGACCTAGTGCCATTTCTTTGCTGTGTCGCTTTTGCTGGGCCACCTGCCCTCTCTGGATAGTAGTCTCCACACCAGTGAAATGGAAGGGATGGGCTCTAATATCACTTCAGTCTTCCCATCCCTCTTGAATCTCATCCCTCCCATCAGCCTATGCTCTCAGACCCCCGCCAGACCCAGAGGCCTCCTGGGGCCCTGTCATAGCCAGGCTGTACATGGCCCATCACCATACCAACGCCTCTCACACCTCTGGGCTGCCGGGCTGCCATGGGCCTACAAAAGAGGTCCTTGAGCCCTGCCTGGAAGGAGCAGGAAAGGTAGAAGCAGAGGATGGGGCTGACAGCACAACTGGAGTAGGCCAGGATGGTGCAGTCTGTATGCCACGGAAGCCACTGGTGTGGCAGACAGGCCCCCCATGGCCGCCACATAACCTAGCACAGAGCAGGGTCCCCACATTAGGACAAAGACTTCCAGCACTATAAGCATAAGCTCTGTGTTTTCCTGGTGCTCCTGAAAGCTCTCCCCATGGGGCCACGAGGCTGTGCCCACAGGAGCCAGCCCGCATGACTGAAAGAGCAGCCCAGCCCCAGCACACAAGGCAGAGAGGCCAGGGTTCCAAGCAGGGAGAAGTAGCAGGAGGGCTGAGCAGGGCTTGGGAGCAAGAGGCAGGCCCAGGCTCCTGTGGCCTCCTGCTTCCACTACCACTCGCCGGGACAGCCGGTGGGGCGATGAGGCAGTGAGGCCCAGGAACCGCGTGGCCCCACAGAGCAGCAGGCAGGTACCCCAGCCTGAGGAAAGAGCCGTGTCAGGCTGGATGACTGCCACATGGCACAGAGGAGCTGTGGCCACCATGCCATAGAAGGTGCAGAACGTGGTGGCATTGCTGGTGGCCTGGCCGGTGGTACAGATGGTGGGGCCCAGCCACCAGTCATGCCGCAGGAAGCTCAGCCCCAACACAGGCACTACGCAGACCAGGAAGAGCAGGTCAGACAATGTGATGTTCACCACGGGGCTGTGGTCAGGGCAAGGAGAGGGCAGGCGGTACCTGCACCCCGACCCACCACCAGCAGCAGGAGCCCGTTAGCCAACAGCCCACCAGCAGGATGAGACCGCAGACCCCAGCAAAGACGCGTTGGAGCAGTTCCCTCAGGTGTGGCCGTGAGCTCGGTGGTAAACATGGCATTGGGTTCCAGCCTGGACTCCGTTCTGCTCCAAACATACAATGACAGCGTAGAAACCAGCCTGAGGCCTGCCTCCCTCTTTCCCTATTGAGCCCCTCTTTGCAGAGTGGGTGCCCTTGGCATGCATCAGCCCCTTTAGGCCCCACAAAAACCTGGTGGGACAGGCCCCATTAACGCCCTGAATTCAGGTCCTAACTGCTCTTTGGCAGCATCATGACCTTGGGAAAGTTACTAATGCTTCTCTACTTCAGTTTCCTCAACTGTAAAGAAGGGAGGAAATAAAACAGATGCCAACAGTAACTGTCACCAAAGGGCAAGACTGGTAGTTTTCATTTTCTTCTTTTTATTTCTAATATTTCTGTAGGGAGTACCAATTGAATCTGATAAATAAATATGTGTATTTTTTTATTTCATTTTTTTTTTTAAACAAAACCTTGCCCTGCCTGTGAAACAGGCAATCTTAATTTGAGGTTAAAGTAAGAAAGAGGATATATGCAAGGGCTTTGAGAAGATATAAAGCTGCTACCAGAGGTTCCCAAGCCTGTCTGTGCCTTGGGAGGACCTGAGGAGTCTCAAAAATACTAGTACATGGCCCCACCCCCAGGGGGATTTAGTCGGTTTGGGCTTTGGCATTTTTGGAAGATCCGAGATGACTCTAAGGGGCAGACTGGCTTGGGAAGCACTGCCCTCTATGGTTGTGCTGAGCTGGTCACCTGGCACGTGGTGGGGAGCCCCAGCCCAGCTGTCAGATCTTTCTCTTCACCTCTACTCCATCCCACATGCTGAGGACACGGGGATCCCCCCAAGGGAGAGGACTCAGGCTAGGAGATGGGGTCTAGACATCCCCCAGGGGCTGATGCCTCCACCTGCCACCCGCAAGTCAGGCCAGGACCCCCCAGCTTCTGTGGGGTGTGAGTCTGCCCATTAACTCAATAAATAGTAATAACCAAAAAATAGAACAAATACATTAATAAATAAATATTTCCTGAGCGCTTACCCTGAGCCAGGTACTGGGGATCCAGCAGCAAACAGGACAGCCAAGCAGGATCCTGATTCTAGTTGTTCCCTCCTACACCGGGAGTGGGGGCAGGACAGCTCCTCTCTAGCCGGCTCAGAGGCAGAGCTAGGCGGTCACCTGAGCCCCTCCTGCAGAGCCCTGCCTGGGAGAGTTGTTTGGACTCTGGCGTCCCATGGCAGCAACTTGCCTGAAGGCAGCTGAGAAGAGACCGGGACAGGGAACCTCCGTAAACTCTGTTGCCAGCACCCCTCTGAGGGGACCACAGGGAAAGAGGAGCTTCGGGAGCAGCCCGGGACCCTGACTGCGCGGGTTGGGTGCTGTCCTTGGGCCTCCCTTTCACGGTTGTGATTGCCCTTTTATTTCTTCCACCTGGCCCAGGCCAGCCTGCCAATGACAAGACTGGAGAGGAGGGGAGGAGAAGGGAGAGGAAGAGAAGGGGTGGAGAAATGAGGGACCCAGCCCCCTGCTCCACCTAAGTGTCTATATCTTCCTGTAAGAAGCCCCACAACTTCCCAGTTAAACTTGTGGGGCTAGAGCCTGGGCTCAGAGCCCCACTCCACCACTTGCTAGCTGTGTGGCTGCGGAGAGGTGAATCCTCTATGCCTCACTTTCCTCATTTGTAAAATGGGTATAATTAACAGGCCAATCTCACAGGACTGTCGTGAGGATTAAATGAAGTAATAAAAAAAAATGCTCAGAACAGTGCCTGGCACGTAGTAGGTGCTTGGTAAAAGATGACTGTTGTTCTGCCCCTGCTCACCCTCAGTTCCAAAAAGGCCTCTTGCCTATCACCCCTGCCCAGGCTACATTCCTGCCCGCCCCTGTCCTGTCTCCACACCCTGAGGCCCATCCACCCAGTTCCACCCTCCTTATCTTAATGAATCTCAAGCTAAGCTGTGACCAGGGCCCCTTGGATACCATGCCCTAAGAACTCACCACTTGCTGGAAGTTCACTCTGAAGTCTCCCTCATGTCCCTCCAGCTGCTCTCCTCACCTGTCTCGTGGGCCCAGAAGTTCCCGGGCCCTGCTTGCTGACTTGGAGCCCTTTGACACCCGGAAAGGCTGGCAGCCCCCGCGCCCCACAGCTACACTGCACAGAAGCTGTATCAGCCAGAGGAAGCCAAGAGAGGGCTCTGGGCAGGCGTGCAGGCCCTTCTAGCACCCACTTCTAGAGAACCCTAACTAGCTGCCTAAGGCCAGGGCAGGGCTGAGGTGGAGGCAGGCCTGGGCCATATCTGTAGTGGGCCCCCACAAAGGACAGAGGCTCTATCCGCTCTACTGGATCCCCCAGTGTATCACGCCGGCCCTGCCTGCCTCATTAACTCACTGGCCCACAGGACAGAGAAGTCAGTGTCTGCCAGGTCTCCAGACCCCAGAGAGTCATTAACAGCAACAGGACCCGCTCCTCACCTGTGCCCAGGGCCAGGCATCGCTTACTCCAGCCCATCGCTGCCTGTCTGTGTCTGTCTGTCTTTGAGAACGCTACGGCCTAGAAACTGCTCAGGTTTGTGGATGGACAGAGAAGATCCAGGAAGAGAGAAGGCACCGGGGGTAAGAAACTATCAGTGACGGGGGCCAGGAGGTGAATGGGCTGGGTCGCAGGAACCATCTGCATATAGTCTAGAGGTGGCATGGGGTCCGTTAAGGGCATCTGATCCACCCTTTGGTGGTTTCTGATGCCTGAAACTTCTCTGTCACCCATTGCTAGGTGTCACCTGGCTTCTTCTCATATACCTCTAGGGACAGAGAGCTCTGTGCCATTGAGGCATCCCTTTTAGAAATGAGCAGAGGAACAAGGTTCAAGGGTGGAAACTTTGATTAAACAAGTAGGAAGGCTCTGTCCCTCTCTCCTGCCCTCCCTCTTTCTGCTTCATTCTCTCTCTCTGTGCCTCTGTCTCTTGAGCTATCTTTGCTTGTCTCTCTATGAAACTGGGATTTCCACTGATTCAGCTGAGGAATTCACCAGTACTTGAATGATTACTACAAAGTACTAAACTGAGCATTATTGTGGTTAACAGTAAGGTGAATAGACAACATTTGCACAAACACAGATGACAGGAGATAAGTCCAACCCTGAGAGGCTGTCCATCTAAGACTCTCAAAGAAAGCTGTCCAAGGGCATGGAGAGCCCCAGCCCCAGGTTATAACGTGCAGCTACCTTTCAAGAGGAGAATAGTACACAATGCTGGGAGCTCCCACAAATCTCCAAAGAGGAGCCTGCAAGTGATCTGAATCCAGTGTCCCTGCCTGCTCCCCAGCACCAGCTACACCCCAGCTGCATGTCGGGTACCTCCAAAGATTGACACCTCAGGGCAGAGGGCTGCACCAGGGGACACCATGGCATTGGGGCAGGGGCAGGATCCCTGAATGTGACCTCTAAGAGGCAGATCTTGGGAAAACGGAGTGGGGTTGGGCTCAGGGATTTAGGAGCGAATGGAGCATATCAGGGACCATCAGAACATTGCTCTTTCCCAGGAATCATGTTGTGCTCAGAAGAAACCCCATGACTGCAAACAGATACAGTGAGTGAAACCAGGTTCGCCAGCTTGCCAGGCCCAGAACAGTGGGACTGTAATAAACAGAGTACCTTGTAATTAGCAGGCCATACCCATCAGTAATCAACACCAAAGCGAGCTCCTTGAAAAGTTTCTTTCCCTCTCCTCAACATTTATTTTTATTTCTGATTATATAAGGAATACCCAGTCATTGTAGAAAATCTGAAAATACAAATACATATGAAAAGGAAAATAACACCCCCACATATTCACCCTAAAATTTTACCACCCAGAGATGTGTGGCCAATAACATGGTATATCTTCCTTAAGTTATTTTTCTATATTTTTCCTTTAAAGAGTTTTACCCCTGACCCCTACCCCAAACTTTATTTACTCAGCAAAGCCCTTCTTGTGCTAAGGCAGTGTTAGCAAAGCCCTTGCCCTGGGATCTGAATCCTGACCTGAAGAGGATTTTCCTGAACTTTTCACAATGGCCCCTCTGTCACTGCTGTGTCCAGGAAGGTGGGACAGGAGCCGAGAAACAGGAAAACGAAGGCGGTGGCTACCCTACTCTGGCCAGGCCAGGTGGTCAGGAGCAGCAGCCAGCCTTCTTCTGTGGCCTCTCAGGGGCCACCTCCACCAGCGAGCCCTTCAGGTGGTCTTCCTGCATCTTGAGGGACCTGCATGGTGACAGCCAGACATCAGTCCTCTCTCACCTCCCAGGGAGGGGCCATGGGTGCAGCTGTGGGGGGGTTTCCCACCTGCTCTGCCCGCCCTACATTCCACATGGCACTAGAAAAGGGGGTCACGGAGAATTTAGCCTCCTGTCTCCTTTCTGGCCTACCTCCCAGCTTACGTGTGCCAGGCACTGTGCAAGGGATTCTGATTATGACAGTGAAGCCTGCATGCCCTTGCCTGGACTAGTGAGGGAGACAGAGAAGGGGTGATCAGGACCCAGCATGGGAAGCACGCAGAGGGACTTCACACTGGGGCCTGAAGGGACTTGGGGGAGGAAGTGCACGAGCGTTTGCTAGCAGAAAAGGGGGGTGCATTCCAGGCAGAGGGCAAAGACTCAGTGTCAGTAGAAAGCTTGGGGGTTGGGGAAGTAAAAGAGGGCCCTTCATTCATTCATTCATTCATTCACTCACTCACTCACTCACAATGGATTTACTGTGTGCTGGGCACTGCGCAAATCCCAGAGTCTGAGGACTGACTGGGCAGAAAGAGCCATGGAGGCACCAGGGATTCAGGGCCCTGTGGGCCTGGAAGCCACGTGGAGGAACTTGGGTTTGTATCCTAAAGCAAAGGGAAGCCACTGAGCAGTTTCTACCAGAGGGCATCACGGTGTGACAGGTTAGCAGTTGAGCAATATCACTCCAGCTGCTTTGTCAGAGGAGGGCCTTAGAGATAATCAGGTCCAATTGACTCATTTCATCCATTTCTGGAGCACCCAGTGTGTGCCAGGCCCTGGGTGTGGAGGGAGGGGCTGAGCAAAGCAGACAGGGCCTGCCCTCCTGGAGCTGCAGCCCTGGGCGGGGAGGCAGCCAGCCACAGACAGACAAGTGTGTGCCTAATTACAATGTGCCCAGAAGGGCTTTGGAGGACCCAAGGGCAGAAGGCCGAGGGTGGAGGTCCATAGTCGGATGGGAGGAGGAGTGGTCAGTAAGGGCCCCTCCCACCGAGTGGCCGGACTTGGTGAGTGTGCGTGCGTGTGTGTGTGCATGTGTGCCCACACACGCTTATGGGCATAAGGACGAGGGAGATGGTGCTGAAGACAGTGCAGGCCATTGTGAGGCATTTGGAGTTTTTTCTAAATCCAGTGAAGTCACCAGAAGGTTGGGAGCGTGACTCTCGCTCTCTCACTGCACTTTGCAGATGAGAAAACAGGCTCATGAAGGGGCGGGAGACGTTGGGAGGTGAAGCAGCGAATGGGGCTGGTAGAACTGGGGTCAGGACTCTGTCCTTAGCGCTCTCTCCTTCCCCAGACTAGCCCGTGATTGCCCTGGTGCTTCCTCCCTGAGCGCCGCCCAGAGGAATGAGGGGTGGGGAGCAGAGCTGCAGGACTCACCGGGCCAGGTTCACCATGGGCTCCAGGATGTTGTGACCCAGGGCAGCGCTGCACTCTCCAAAGGAGACCCCCAGCTCCTGCAGGCCAAAGGGACAGGGACCACTGAGAGCCCAGGGGCAGCCCCCACCACTGAACTCCTGCCTATAAGACAGTCCCACCCAGGTGTCCCTAGGCCCACCCGGCGAGTGAGGCAGGTCCATCTTCATGTGGCCCCCAGCCTTGACCCCCACCCACTGCTCCTCAAGCCTGGCTGGCCAAGGTGTCAAAGATGTCAGCTCAGAAGCATTCCGTGACCTTCAAAGTGATGGTGGGAAGCCAGGGTCCCAGCTTGGAGAAATGTCCTTACGACATATTAAAACTACCTGTTAACATTTTTTAAATTTCAGAAATATTTAGTTGGGACAATATTTTAAAAATGCAGCATAAAAAGTGTAGGTATAAAATATAAGCCACTCCTATCAGCATTTGGGTATATATTTCCATTCCTCTTTGTATAACCCTTTTACTGGGATGGGTGGTAGGAGGACGGGCTGTCTATAGGTAGGCTGTCTATATGGTAGGAGTGAGTGCTTAGTATACACCAGGTGCTGTGCTGAAAGCAGTTCTATCAGTGAATCCTCATAAGTCCTCTATGGCAGAAGTCAGAAAATTGAAGTTCAGAGAGGTTGAGTCACTAGTCCAAGGTCGCAGAGCTGGGGTTGGATAGCTGGGATTCAAACCTAGGTCCTGTCAAACCCCAGAGCCCAACTCCCCATATACATTACCGTTTCCTACTTCTTTTGCACCTCTTCAACTAGACTAGAAACTTCTAGAGAGAAGACAACATGTTTTACTCCATACCCCTCTGCTATGCTACCATATATTGCAGAATTTCAGTGTATGTGTATCAATTACCTGTAGACTACACAGGTTAACCCTGTGAAGCTGCTGTTTTAGAAGGCCCCAAACAGTCCTGTACCAGCAATCCCACAGAGTTCTCTACCCAGGTTTGTAGCTGCTTTTCTAACTTCACATTGTATTATAAGCATTTCCTCCACACCCTTAAATGTTTTTCCAGAACAGACTCTTAGAGGCAAGTGCTAGACTCTCACATGAACCTCCACAGGTAACCAGCAACTGCTGCCCACTGTTTGTTCTTATAAATAATGCTGTAAACATCCTCATTTACACATGTTTGATTATGCTTTGTCCAGGGCTATATCCTACTCTATAGGGATAATTATTTCTGATTCTTTCCTTCAGACAAATTACTAGAGGAGGAATTACTATGTCAAAGAGATGAGCTACTACTTTTAAGAAGAAAAAAATGACTGCCATCCAGGAGCCACAATGATGACCTCACAATTATGAGAAATGAGAGGAATAACCAGAAGTAAATTCAAAGTGAAAATGCCCAGAGGGGTTGTGTCAGAGTTGGGGCAAGGCACAGATTCTTTTCCCCTTTATTATTCACCAGATGTGCTGAAATGTGGATAATGACAATATTCTTGTCATAAATAAATAGTATCCAAGATCTGGTGGTGGGCCTTTTGAAGCAGTCTTCCCAGGGAAGAATCTGAGTCTTAAGATAGACTGAATTAGAAGGGATGTTATGTAAATTAGAGACTAGAGAGGAAATTAAGATTTGATTGGGTGTTTTAGGTGAAGCTTTTAAAACCTTTTTACTCTGAAGATATCTTTAAGTAGGGCAGGACATTGTGTGAGGATTTGCTAATTCAACAGTGAGGTTCAATGTCAAGCCCACCATTACAGCTCATGTTTGGGTCTAACGCCAGAGTGGGTGGAAAACAGAGGTGGCGAGGCTTCCCTGTCCTTCCTGATTTGGCCTTTGGCCGGGCAGAAGCAGGAATGGGCAATGCGTCCCTCTCAGTTGCCCAGGCCAGGGAGACCTATTCACTGCTCTCCAGGGAGGGGTCTGCCTGGTCCAGGCTGAGGGAGGGCCGACCCCCAGGTGCTTACCTGGGCCAGTTGCTGCCCAGCCTCTGTGGGCACCTGCCGTTCCTCCTCACAGTCCATCTTGTTTCCCAGGAGAAGGATGGCCACCTCATCAGACCCTGCATCCTGCACACAGAACGCATTCCTCAGCTACCCATGTGGAGCACCTGCTGTGCGCCAGGTCCTGGGTGAGTTCGGCCCTGTGCTCTAGAAAGCTGACAGTGTGCTTCCTCCCCCACCACACACCCACCTTTCCATGTCACACTCACTCCATACCCTTTACCCGCCCACCCTTACACATCCCCTCCATCTGCTGTGATTCTCTTCCTCCTCTCTGCCTGCAAACCTGTCATCCACTTTCCAAGGCCAACCTCAAAGCTCCCTTCCTCAGCAAGCTTTCCTGGATTGTTCCTGACATGATCCTTATTCCTGTCTGTCAGCACTGATTATACAGGTTGCCTTGGCTCATTTCTTAATTCTTTATGGAGAAGAATAACAATAGCTTCTGAGCAGACTCACAGACTCCCAAGAAGTGACTGGTGGTTACCAAAGGGGAGGGGTGTGGGAGGGTGGGTGGGGAGGGAGGGAGAAGGGGATTGAGGGGTATTATGTCTAGTATGCAAGGTGTGGGGATCACGGGGAAAACAGTGTAGCACAGAGAAGGTAAATAGTGAATCTGCAGCATCTTCCTACACTGATGGACAGTGACTGCATTGGGGTATGGGTGGGGACTTGATAATATGGGTGAATGTAGTAACCACATTGTTTTTTCATGTGAAACCTTCATAAGAGTGTATATCATTAATACCTTAATAAAAATAAATAAATAAATAACAATAGCCTCTGTGTATTGAATGCTTACTATATACCAGGTGCTGTGCTGACAGCAATTCAATCAGTGAATCCTCATAACTCCTCTATGGCAGAAGTCAGAAAATTGAAGTTCAGAGAGGTTGAGTCACTAGTCCAAGGTCACAGAGTTGGGGTTGGATAGTTGGTCCTGTCAAGCCCCAGAGCCCAACTCCCTCATACATTACCGTATCCTACTTCTTTTGCACCTCTCCAACTAGACTAGAAACTTCTAGAGAGAAGACATGTTTTACTCCATACCCCTCTGCTATGCTAGCACATACTGCAGAAGTTCAGTATATGTGTATCAATTAAGTACATGGGGAGAAGAACTAGAGATTTGTAGACAGAGGAATTATCACCTAGAGTATTACTAGAATTGCATTATCCCTAGGTGCTAAGAAGACATCACAGAGCTGCTATATGTAACAAAGAAAGACTCACAGCATAAAGGAAGTAGTTTGTTTTGCAGTCTGTACTATGTGGTCATGGTTTCTTTGTCCTACTATGCTCTCAGCCCATCCAATCATGTGCCCTCAGTGGTTTGTGTCACCCATATGTTTACTGTGTCACTTGTAATCCTGGGAGAAAAGGGGGAGTGGGCAGGATACAAGTTCCCTCTTGACTTCAGAAACTGGGGCCAACCCCAGCAGCCATGTGCTTACCTGGAGACAGTCCAGCCAGTAGCGCACATGGGTGAAGCTCTCCTGGGAGGTGATGTCATACATGAGCACCACCCCGTCAGCCTTGTGGAGCAGCTGCCGTGTCATGCTATGGTACCTGCCCAGAGAATCTGCATGAGGCCAGGACAGGTGGGCTGACCCCAGGCCTTGGCCACTCCAGGCCTCAGCTACTCCATCTGCAAAGTGGGAGAATTAATCCTTTCTGCTTCTAATTTCTTCCCAAAGAGAGTGTGTGTATACGTCCCTTCTTACAGGGTAGTTATTGTTTAATAGTTAACAGTCCTCCTGGCTCAAATTCCAAAGGTCCAAAGGGCACGGCTCTCAACCCCACCCACGTCCTGCAGCCACCCAGTCCCCCTACCCAGAGCAAGCAGAGTTACCAGTTTCTTAAGTATCTTTCCAGAGGTATTTTATGAATATACATACATGTATATATACATACACACACATATATCTGTATATATATGTATATATATATATACACACATACACTCATATGCCCTTTTTCCTTGTTTAACACAAATCACTCACTGTACTCATTAACATGCAGTAGTTAGTAATCTGTACCTTGTTTTTTCCAGTTAATAAAATGTCTTGGAGCTGTTTACCTATTGATACATAGAGAGAGTCCTCAGTCTTTTTTGTAGCTTCATAATATTCCATTGTGTGGCCCTTTCTTATATATAACGAGCCCACTAGTGATGGTGTTTGGATTGTTTCCATCATGATATGAATGATGCTGCTGGGACCTCTGTTGGACTCTTTGGTGTTACAGTCAGGTATGAGTTTATCAGTAGATAAAAGATAGAAGTGGACCTACTGGGTCAGAAAGATGTGCCTTTTAAGTTTCGAGGAGTACTGCCTTACTGGAAAGTGGAAGGCCAGCGTTTTTAGGACAGGCGACTGGGCCATGCTGGGATGGCCCTCACAGCTGCCTTGCCAGGCCTTTGGGTCTGCTGTCCCATCTTCCCCCACTGGGTCTTGACTCATCTGTCCTTCCCTGACCTCCTGAATCCTTTGGAGGCAGATGCCTCTTTAACACTTGGTTGCCTCTTCGCCATGCTAGATGCCTCAAGGTTGGGCTGCCTTCCACTCCTCTGCTCCCCAGGCTCAGTCTGGATCCCCAGCATCAATCACTAAGGGAGACAGTGCCCATTACCTCTCCTGGCCAGCTGTGTCCCAGAGCTGCAGTGCAAACCACTTGTTGTCCACCAGCAAGTTTTTGACACGAAAATCCACTCCTAGGATACACAGAAGGGGGTTAGGCCTGCTTTAATGTTACCATCCAAGGCTTCTAGCCAAGGCCTGCATGAATATATACCTGTCCGCAACACCAGCCCAGTAGGACAGGAACCTTCAGCTGCTGGGCTTCCCCTCTACTCTCCAAATCCCATCCATACTCAAGGGCCACATCCTCCAAGAAGCCTTCCCTGACCACCCAGCCTACAGGGTTCACTGCCCCCACTGCCCCCTCACACCCTGACAGTCGGGGCCACTACAAGGCACCTTGCATTGCTTTGACCTCTATGAACATTTCTGTCTTCCCAACTGCACAGCAGTTCTCAGGCCACTCAAGAAAATAAAGTTCATTATTTTATATTTATAGTGCTCCATGTTTCATTCCCTCATTATTGCATGTATCTCCCCTTCAACCAGACAGCAGAGCAGACAGGCAGCCTTTCCAGGAGTGCTCTTTCCAGGAGGGTGGAAAGAGCACTAATTAGCTTCAGGGATGAATGATGGGGCTGGGAGTTGTCCACCCTCTGCAGCTGCACTAGCTGTGTGACCTCAGGCAAGTCACTTCACTGTCTCTGAGTCTCTCTTCCTCATTCATGAGGTAGAAGTCATAAAAGGCCCAAGTCGGAGGGTGGTTGGGAGGATTAAATCACTGATTTCCAAGGTTCAGCCCAGTTTCTGCAGGGGTGCTTGAGAGGCAATCATTTTCATTGTCATTATTAAATCTCATCTCCTTGAGCCCCTCAAATTTCACAGTGCTACCCTTCCCTGTGGTCATGGTCCCAGACCCTTCCTGTCCCTGAAAATATGAAGGTAATAGTGAAATCCCAGAGAGGCTTGGAATCTTTGGGGTGTAGCTTCCTGCCAAATCCCACTTCCCAAGGGAACTAGGTAGGGTGGGGGTGATGGAAAGGGGTTTCTTTATCCCCATCTCTACCCGCTTTCCTAACAGAGCCCTGAGAGTCCGCTTAAGGCCTCAGGCCAGCTCAGGAAGGGGTGTCTCCTCATAAAAGCCCTGAGCAGGTAGAGACCTTTCCCAAGGTGACCCACCACCAGGCACCTGCTGCTGCCCCCTGGTGTTGGCTGAAACCATAGCCTCCCACCCCCAAGCTCTCCACAGGAAGCTGAAGAGGCAGGTGCCCAGGAGGCCTGACCTCAGCAAAATGGTGAAGCAGAAGCTTGTGCGTCACATCCACTTCTCTTTATTGCCCTTTTTCCTGCAGGTCCTAGACCTGCAGGGCCCCCTGAGGTTATCTAATCCAACCCCCTGTGATAATATCCAGCCTTGGTTTAATGACCACCGTGTCATCTACTGAACACCGCTAACAATTACCTTTTGCATTTAATAAATCCCACATTTTCCCACTTTTCCACCTCCCTGCCCATCCTCTGCCACCTCCTTCCTCCACTTGCGTGTCCCCATACTCTCCCCCAAATATGACTTAATCACATAAACTGTTAGGAATATAATGTTTTCTCCTTCCCAAGGAACCTGCTATTTTGCATGAGCAGCCCCAAGGAGAGCAATGCTGAAACCCAAAGAAGGCAAAACTTCTGGTGTGAGGGTGTGTGCTGTGTGGGCATGAGGCCCAGGGTATGAACTCTGGGGCAAGAAACAACCGGATCTGCAAATCTCTGGGATTCTGTATCTGTAAAATGGAGACGGATATAAAAAAATCTGGCAAAAATGCACTTCCAGCTGTAACTCAGTTGGCTCTGTCTCTGGTCCTCCACCCAGCCCTGTTCTCAAATGCAGACAGGCTATTGTTCTTATCTTCTGAGAGAGGGGGGTGGGCCTGGGGGAGGGTGGCACAGAGTGGGGAAATGTTCATGACTGAGGGAGCCAGAGTCAGCCCCAGTGACAGCGATGCCAGATGGATGACAGCCGCAGGTGGTGTCAAACCGCAGTTGGGACCAGGACAGATTTGCATCACACACCCTGATCTCAGGTACTCCCAGCTGGGTGGTGGTACATGCAGGGTCGCCTAACATTTTTACAATGATGCAACCTGTGCTTTTCTTGACTGAATTTTGTGGAACCTTCTTATCACATAAAAATGGGCGTGGGCTATATTATCAGGACAGCTACTGTACAGAGTAAGGCACGTGTATAAGATGCCTGGTGCAGTAAAGGTGTTTGGTAACCAGTAGCTTAGTGATTAATAATAGTGACCCCTCAGACCCTGTGAACCTGGTCAACACCAGGCCGGGCCTGCTATGAGTGACCATGCCTGAGGACACTGCATTTTTAACTGCATCCCCAGGTGAGGATTCTTAGGCAGAGAAAAGTTTGAGAACTTGTCCTGGGGCCTCTCTTATATGAAGGCTGCCATTAATCCTCTGGTCTGACCCTGGGCCCCAGGCAGCAGGCACCCTGACTGACACTAAGCCATGGAGTGCTCCATCTTTGTCCCCAAGTGGATCTCCTCTCCATTCCCATGAGTTTGCTTTTCTGTGGCTCCATACAATGTTCAAGAGGCCATACACCCCAATATTTTAGGGACATATTTTGTGCCTTGGCATATTTCATTTGCAGCAGCCACTGAATTAAACATTATCAAATATTATAATAATAACAATAAACATAACTAGTATTTACTGAGCACTTAGTTTGTGCCAGCTATTCTAAGAGCTTGACATGTACCAACTGATCTCATCCTTACACCCACTCTAGGAAGTTGGCACTACTGTTCTCATTATGCAGATGAGGATTTGGGAACTCAAAGGGGTTAAATAATTTGCCTAAGTTCATATTGCTAGTAAATTGCAGAGCTGGGATTTGAACTCAGGCATTTGGGTTCCTAACTTACCACCCTCTGCAAAGACATTCTGTGTAAAAATGTTCAGTTTGCCCAAGGTAGCTCCCTGCGGGAGCCTGGTAGACTGGTCAGAGACAAGCCAACCAGCACCGACCAGGCAGTGGTCTGCCCACAGGCCATGTGGGTGGAGATCTTGCTTGTTTTCACCAGCAACCAGTGGCTGGCACCTAAATTGCAGGGTGCTTTGTTGATGTGGCACATTATAAGCTAATCAGATCAATTCAGAAAAAACACATTACCTGTAATTAGAGATGATTAGTAAAATAGTAAAATGATGCTGATATAAAATAATGCCAAATGCAGGGCCCCTCACCAGAACAGAACCTACAGCTTCCTCAGGGATGACTCACTCTTGGCCTGCTCCAGCTTGTTGGTCAGGACCCCTGGCTCTCCCCTCCTTCCCCAGCCTCCCTCTCTGGGGACCCTTACCCACAGTGGCTGCCGGCCCAGTGGCGAAGGAGTTCTGGTGCAGCAGGTGCAGAAAGGATGTTTTGCCCACATTCGAGTCTCCCAGGAAGATGACATGGAAGATGCAATCAGGGTCCCTGGCCATGGGGCTCCCTGGGGACGGGGTCAGCCCAGCCTCTCCCGAGTCCATTCCTAGGCCATCAGGCCTATTGACTGCCCCTGGCTGCCTGGACTGTGGAGGGCCTTGTTCTCCTTCCGTGTGAGCAGTTGTGGGCGGAGCGGTGGACTGAGCTTCCAGCTCAGCCAAGCTGGGGAAGGTTAGTGTGGACTCCCGGGGCCCTGCTCCATCGCCAGGCTGAGTCCCTGTGGGGGAAGAACCTCTTGGAGGAGATGGCTTTCCAGGAGCAGGGGCCTCTGCTTCAGCCTGAGCCTGGAGTTTGTCACATGGGAGACCAGCCAGCAGAGAATCTTGCTGTGTGAGTTGGGCTGACTCAGCTGACTGCTCTGAACTGAGGTATTGCCCTCCTTGGTCCACCTCTTTCCCTTCCTCAGCCCTGGGCTCCTCTTCCAGATGCTGGCTGGGGAGGGCAGGCAGGCCGTCTGGCCCAAGGGCCTGGCCACGCGCTTCTCTTAGCCCCCCAGGGTGGCCCTCTTGCACATGTGGGCCCGGCTTGCCCTGCTCCAATCCCTCTGCAGGTGCTTGACCCTCAGGCCCCAAACCCTGGGGGGGCTCAGCCAGCCCTACTGCGAGGGCTCTAGCTCCTAGGGACCCCAGGCCTGGCCCCGGGCCAGCAGAGCGTGGGGCTGGATGGAGGGCCTCTCCATGCCTGGGTGACTTGGTGGTGGCAGGCGCAGGCCCGGGGCCTTTGTCATCTGGATATGAGGCCTGCGGCTGGGGAGAGGCCACACTGGGAGTGGATCTGTCCTCCAGAGGAACGAGCTCTTTGAGCTCAGCTGCCACCAGGCCCCCTGGATCCCCAGCTGGGACCCCTGGGGGACTCCAGTGGGAGAGGGCCCCAGGGCCAGGCTCCCCCTCAGGTTCTGGGCTGTGAGGCTCAACAGTCAGCTCTGGGCTAATGTCCTGCCCGTCCGGGGTCACTGCTTTCCTCTCAGCTCTGGAAGGCACCCCAGGGGGACTCCTTGGAGCCCCCTCCGGGTCTGAATCTGAAGCTGGCTCCGGCCCAAACAGCAAAGTATGTGGCTCTGAGATGGAGATCTGCCTGACCACTCGGGGTGCCTGGGAGCCTGAGGGGGTTCCTGGGGTTGGGGGTGTGCTCCAGGAGAGCTGCAGGGCTCTGTGTGGGGTGCTGCTGAAGTCACTCAGGAGGTGGTCCCAGTCATCGTTGTCCCCAAACAGTCTGGGCAGGGAAACCTCCTCGGAGGAGGCTGCCTGAAGGTCTGGTGCCTTCTCCTCACCAGCTCCGGAGACACTAGGAAGGGTGTAGGAAGCTAAGGTCAGGGAGGGGCCCCACCAAACCCCCGCCATCCATCACCACGGGTCACACACCTCACAGCTGGCCCTCCCCTGCTCTTTGCTCAGCAGTCCTCCTCACCTAGCATGCCTGCCCCATTCCTCCTGGCCATCCAGTCCTGCTCAGCATTCAAGGCCAGCAAGAAGCCTCACCTCCTCCAGGAAGCTTTTCCTCATCATCCTGGGCCATTGCACTCATCTGCACTGTATGTAGCCCAGTAGGGTGAGTGTCTGCCTGGGGTCCAGCACTGTACTAGACTCTGTGCTTGCATGCATGCGTGTGTGCATGCATATATGTGTGTTGGAATCCCAGTTGTGTGACCTTGGGCACATGACTTTCCCCTCTCTGTGCCTCAGTTTCCTTGTCTGAGAAATGAGCATGATAATCCCAGGCTGGCAGGATTGTTGCAAGGCTTAAGAAGGGAGATTGTTCTGGGTGCTGTCCAGAGTCTCAGAGAACTCAGAGCCTCCCTCCCCTCTTCCAGGAAGCCCCTGGTCTCTGTCCCAGGAATGGCAGCTACTTGCCTGGGTTCCTCCTCCATCTGCCAGGAGACATGGCCCCTGGCAGTGTGTATGTGCTCCCTGGTCACCTGTAGCTGCCCCCGCACCTCCTTCAGCTGCCCAGCCAGGTCACGCTCAGCCTCTCGAAGCTGCTGGTTTTCCAAGCTGGCCTCCTGGTGTGTGCTGCTGAGGTGGTGGAGCTGGGCCTCCAACTGCAGGAGGGGATGGGTGAGGAGGAGAGATGCCCAGTTGCCCTCCAGGGAACTGAACAAGCCTCCCAAGGTCATTGTGGGGAGCAGACTCCAGGCTCCCAGAGACCCAGCTTAAAATATAGGACTGAGGGGATTCCCCCTCATACGCCTAAATAGCTGCATCAGTGACAGCCAGGAGAGACATTCAGATTGCTGGGGGAGGGAGGAGAGAGGCAACTGTGTAAGAACACAAACTGCCAGTACACGAGGGCCCGAAATGTAAAATGGGCTCTTCCATGCAAAGCCCAAAGCCTGTGATGGCTGCTTAACTCCGGGCCCCATCTGATCTGTAGGAAGCTCCTGATCCAATAGAAAGTCACAGAGATGGAGAGGTGCTTGACCATGCAGGGCAGAAGGCAAAGCCCTCATACAGCCTCCAGGGCCCTGCACAGTTTACCCCCCACCCCACCCGGTGCATCGCAGACCTCCCTCACTACTCTCCCTGCCCTCGGCTCCAGCAGAGTCATTGTTGTCCCTAAACAGTCTGGGCAGGGGAACCTCCTGCAGCGCACAGGTCTCCCTGTTGCTCCTTAAACAGTCACAGCACATGCCCACCACGGGGCCTCTGCACACACTTTCCCTCTACCTGGACTGCTCTTCCCCCAGATACCACATGGCCCGCCCCTCACCTCCTTCAGGTCTTTACTCCAATGTCACATCTCAGTGAGGCCTTTCATGATTCCCCTCTCAAAACCCTCCTATCCCCTGCCCTGCTTTCCTTTAGTCTCCTTAGCACTTTCACTATCTAAGATGTTATAGATTTTACTTGTTTATTCTGTTTATCATGCATCTGACTAGATAGAACACCATGTAGGCAGAGATTTGTGTCTATCATGTTCTTCAGGGCTTATAATAGTTCCTGGCACATAGTGAATACATCATAAATAGCTGTTGAATGAAGGAATGAATGGCCTGGGGGGACAGGCTTCACATCCACAGGGGACAGGACAAAATGGCTCCATGTGGCAGGTCCAACTTCCTCCCTTAGCAGAAGGGGCCTGCCTCAGTTTCCAAGGAGCAGCTGCTGCAGAGGCAGCTGGGTAACCAGCCCATGTGGGCGGGGTGAGACCAGGTGATGGGGCTAGCCAAGGCAAAGGTGGGGAAGGCTGTGGTCACCTTTCCAGTGATAAAGGGATGCTGGTTGTCCTGGTTACAACAGTAGGTGATTTTAGTAGTCTGAAAGTTGAGAAAGAAAGAGACGGTGTTGCAGGGTTTCCTGCCAAAAGACCCAAATGCCAGCTGGAAGTGACTATAGGTTATGAGACCTGGGGATTTCTTTGATGAGGAAACGAACGCTCAGAGAGGTTAAAAAACCTGCCCAGTTCAATGTTAACTGGTGCAACTGCTGTGGAGAGCAGTATGGAGTTTCCTCAAAAAACTAAAAATAGAAATACCATATGGCCCAATAATTTCACTTCTAGGAATTTACCCAAAGAAACAGAATCTCTGATTTGAAAAGATATGTGCACCCCTATGTTTATCACCTCATTATTTACAGTAGCCAAGTTATGGAAGAAATCTGTCTGTCAATAGATGAATGGATAAAGAAGAGGCAGTACATGTATACAGTGGAATATTATTCAGCCATAAAAAGGAAATCCTGCTATTTGTGACAACATGGATGGTACTAGAGGGTATTATGCTAAGTGAAATAAGCCAGGTGGAGAAGACAAATACTATATGATTTCACTTATTTGTGGAATATAAAAAACAAAAGAAAACAAGATGAACAAAACAGCAGTAGACTCATAGACACTGAGAAGTGACTGGTAGTTACCATGGGGGAGGGGTTAGCATGGTTGGGTAAGCTCCGGAGACACTAGGAAGGGTGTAGGAAGCTAAGGTCAGGGAGGGGCCCCACCAAACCCCCGCCATCCATCACCACGGGTCACACACCTCACAGCTGGCCCTCCCCTGCTCTTTGCTCAGCAGTCCTCCTCACCTAGCATGCCTGCCCCATTCCTCCTGGCCATCCAGTCCTGCTCAGCATTCAAGGCCAGCAAGAAGCCTCACCTCCTCCAGGAAGCTTTTCCTCATCATCCTGGGCCATTGCACTCATCTGCACTGTATGTAGCCCAGTAGGGTGAGTGTCTGCCTGGGGTCCAGCACTGTACTAGACTCTGTGCTTGCATGCATGCGTGTGTGCATGCATATATGTGTGTTGGAATCCCAGTTGTGTGACCTTGGGCACATGACTTTCCCCTCTCTGTGCCTCAGTTTCCTTGTCTGAGAAATGAGCATGATAATCCCAGGCTGGCAGGATTGTTGCAAGGCTTAAGAAGGGAGATTGTTCTGGGTGCTGTCCAGAGTCTCAGAGAACTCAGAGCCTCCCTCCCCTCTTCCAGGAAGCCCCTGGTCTCTGTCCCAGGAATGGCAGCTACTTGCCTGGGTTCCTCCTCCATCTGCCAGGAGACATGGCCCCTGGCAGTGTGTATGTGCTCCCTGGTCACCTGTAGCTGCCCCCGCACCTCCTTCAGCTGCCCAGCCAGGTCACGCTCAGCCTCTCGAAGCTGCTGGTTTTCCAAGCTGGCCTCCTGGTGTGTGCTGCTGAGGTGGTGGAGCTGGGCCTCCAACTGCAGGAGGGGATGGGTGAGGAGGAGAGATGCCCAGTTGCCCTCCAGGGAACTGAACAAGCCTCCCAAGGTCATTGTGGGGAGCAGACTCCAGGCTCCCAGAGACCCAGCTTAAAATATAGGACTGAGGGGATTCCCCCTCATACGCCTAAATAGCTGCATCAGTGACAGCCAGGAGAGACATTCAGATTGCTGGGGGAGGGAGGAGAGAGGCAACTGTGTAAGAACACAAACTGCCAGTACACGAGGGCCCGAAATGTAAAATGGGCTCTTCCATGCAAAGCCCAAAGCCTGTGATGGCTGCTTAACTCCGGGCCCCATCTGATCTGTAGGAAGCTCCTGATCCAATAGAAAGTCACAGAGATGGAGAGGTGCTTGACCATGCAGGGCAGAAGGCAAAGCCCTCATACAGCCTCCAGGGCCCTGCACAGTTTACCCCCCACCCCACCCGGTGCATCGCAGACCTCCCTCACTACTCTCCCTGCCCTCGGCTCCAGCAGAGTCATTGTTGTCCCTAAACAGTCTGGGCAGGGGAACCTCCTGCAGCCCACAGGTCTCCCTGTTGCTCCTTAAACAGTCACAGCACATGCCCACCACGGGGCCTCTGCACACACTTTCCCTCTACCTGGACTGCTCTTCCCCCAGATACCACATGGCCCGCCCCTCACCTCCTTCAGGTCTTTACTCCAATGTCACATCTCAGTGAGGCCTTTCATGATTCCCCTCTCAAAACCCTCCTATCCCCTGCCCTGCTTTCCTTTAGTCTCCTTAGCACTTTCACTATCTAAGATGTTATAGATTTTACTTGTTTATTCTGTTTATCATGCATCTGACTAGATAGAACACCATGTAGGCAGAGATTTGTGTCTATCATGTTCTTCAGGGCTTATAATAGTTCCTGGCACATAGTGAATACATCATAAATAGCTGTTGAATGAAGGAATGAATGGCCTGGGGGGACAGGCTTCACATCCACAGGGGACAGGACAAAATGGCTCCATGTGGCAGGTCCAACTTCCTCCCTTAGCAGAAGGGGCCTGCCTCAGTTTCCAAGGAGCAGCTGCTGCAGAGGCAGCTGGGTAACCAGCCCATGTGGGCGGGGTGAGACCAGGTGATGGGGCTAGCCAAGGCAAAGGTGGGGAAGGCTGTGGTCACCTTTCCAGTGATAAAGGGATGCTGGTTGTCCTGGTTACAACAGTAGGTGATTTTAGTAGTCTGAAAGTTGAGAAAGAAAGAGACGGTGTTGCAGGGTTTCCTGCCAAAAGACCCAAATGCCAGCTGGAAGTGACTATAGGTTATGAGACCTGGGGATTTCTTTGATGAGGAAACGAACGCTCAGAGAGGTTAAAAAACCTGCCCAGTTCAATGTTAACTGGTGCAACTGCTGTGGAGAGCAGTATGGAGTTTCCTCAAAAAACTAAAAATAGAAATACCATATGGCCCAATAATTTCACTTCTAGGAATTTACCCAAAGAAACAGAATCTCTGATTTGAAAAGATATGTGCACCCCTATGTTTATCACCTCATTATTTACAGTAGCCAAGTTATGGAAGAAATCTGTCTGTCAATAGATGAATGGATAAAGAAGAGGCAGTACATGTATACAGTGGAATATTATTCAGCCATAAAAAGGAAATCCTGCTATTTGTGACAACATGGATGGTACTAGAGGGTATTATGCTAAGTGAAATAAGCCAGGTGGAGAAGACAAATACTATATGATTTCACTTATTTGTGGAATATAAAAAACAAAAGAAAACAAGATGAACAAAACAGCAGTAGACTCATAGACACTGAGAAGTGACTGGTAGTTACCATGGGGGAGGGGTTAGCATGGTTGGGTAGGGAGGGTGAGGGGGATAAAATGGCACAAAAATTCTTTATCACAATATAAGTTGGTTGTGGGGATGGAAGTGCAGCATGGAGAATATAGCCAATGATTCTGTAACATCTTCCTATGTTGACAGATAGTAACCACACTAGAGAGGGTGAAGATTTAATAATATGAGTAAGTGTTGAAACAGTGTGTTATATACTTGAAACCAATATAAGATTGTATGGCAACTATACTTCAATAAAAAAAAGAAACCTGCCCAATTCACTCAGCTAACAATGGAGACAAGAGTTGAACACTTCTCTATCACCAAGTCTCTCAGTGTTCAGATCTTCCATTTGCCCAGTGATTTCAAAGTGATTTCTATGTATTGCCTCATTTAACACAACTAGCCTGGGGATGCAGTAGATGTGGCCATTCCCATTTACAGATGGAGAAACAAAGGCCAAGACAAGCCAAGTTATTTCCTCAGATTTACTCTAAACTAGACAGCAGGGATTTAAACCATAACCTTCCAACTTGTGCCCCAAGGCTCCCACTGCACTGCCTGGCCTCATCTCAGAAAAAGGCCAACACCTCTTTCCCAATGGGCCACTCTCCTACGGGAGCCCAACCAACCCAGTAAATCCTCAGGAGACGGGTGTCAGAGTGTGTGAATCCTCAAAATTGGGCTCCTGGGGAAGCCCTGCCACTCACCTCCCTCTGGCCCTCAGTCAGCTGCTGCACTTCATGCTCCTTGGCCTCCAGGACCTCCTGTATCTGGGAACTGAAGGCCAGGTCCCGGGAGTCACTCTGGGGAGCAGAGTAGTCTTAGTTCCTATACTGCAGAATTGGAGACCTAGCAGGGCTGGGCCAGCCCTCCCCACACTTCACAGCTACCCAGGCCTGAGGTGCAGGGTCCAGCATATCCTAGCAAGGAGGGGTCCAGGACAACTCCCCTGGCTCAGGCCTAGGCTGTGACAACAAGGAGACTGAGGCCCAGAGAGCAGAAGGACTGGCTCTGGGGGACACAGCCAGACCTGGTAGAGCCAGGCAGGGGCCGCTGCTCAGTATGCCCCACACATCTCTCTGAGGAGCGCAAGCTGGTCAAAGGCTACTCCCAGCAGCCTCTGCTGTCCCTCACTGGCCAGTCACCTCCTCCCAGCTTAGCCAGCTGAGATGCCCAGGTCAAGGGGAAGGGGCAGGCTGCAGGGTGGGCCCACCTCGGCCTGTAGCTGCTGCTTCTCTCGGCGGATCTGCTGCTCCATTTCCTCATAGAGCTTCTGGACCTCATTATGGTGATCGGAGTCCCGCCTGGAAGGGTATGAGGAGGGCCCCGAAGCCAGTCAGCACCAGGGAGCCTGCTGCTGGCAGGGGTGGTCTGGGCCTTGGTTGAGAGTCCATCCTACTGCTCATTTCACTTTGCCAGCAATCACTGACCCTGTCACCCTGAGAGCAGTCATCCCAGTAATAGCCCACTGGCCCATATGCTCTTGACACTGGGTACCCCAACCCCATCACACTGACTCCTATAACTATCACCAAGGTATTGGCTCTCCTGGCCCTCTTACATGGACCCTACTGCCCATCACTCTGTTGCCACTACCTACGGTCACCATCCCCCTACCCTGCAACTCAGACCCCTGGAAGGACTGTGCCCGGCCAACCACATGGGCAGGGTTACCACATGCAGTGTAATCCATGTGAGTGGTGCCCCTGGAGTCAGATGCCACAGTGGCCCTGCACCAAGACACACTTGTCATTCCCACTCCCACTAAAGGCCCAGTTCCGTCCCCCTCAGCAGGTCCCCTAAGTCACCCCGTCTCCCAGCTCAGTTGTGCTCACCCAGCTCCCAGGCCCAGCCGTGGACCCCTGGCTCCATTCTTCTGGAGCTGAGGGAATTCAGTTTGGATTCAACTAAAATGTAAAGAGCACTAGTATGTGCCAGATACCAGGTAGGCGAGGACCCCCGCCGACTCACTTCCTCAGGGTCAGCTCCAGAACTTTCCTGTCGGCCTGCGCCTCCTGCAGGCGGCTGCTCATCTTGGCCAGAAAGCCCTCCAGGTTGCCTGCCAGCTGGGGCTCCTCCTGCCGCAGCTTCCCCCACAGCTGCCAGATCTCCGCCTGCCTGGGGAGGGGAGGATGGCCAGAGATGATCTGGTGGGACTGGGACGTGGGGGGAGCCCCACTCCTCAGTGTTAACGGCAGCGCTCCCGGAGACTTGGGTACCCGGGCCAAAAAAGTCTTACATTATATGAGGCACAAGCCAAATGCTACCTCCTCTAGTAACCTTTCCCAGAATTGCCTTCCCCCTTCTTGAATCCCCACAAACTTTGTCTCCCTGTGGTTTGTTGATTAATTGTGGAGTGAGGGAACTTTGGAGCCTCATGGCCCAGGGCTTCAATCTGCCTTCTCTCTTTCCCATTCTGTAGCTGTGTGACCTTAATCAAGTCCCATGCCCTCTCTGGGCTTATTTGTAAAATGACGAGACTGATACCTGTGCAGCAAAGTCACTGGAGAATGAGACATGTTCAGTAAAAGCACCAGCTTGGGCCTGGCATACAGTGGCACCTGATAAATGCTGCTTTCATACATGCTTAATTAAGTCACGAAGATGGATGCCAGAGCACTGAACCCAGGCCAAGCTGCCAAGTGGGTAAATAGCCCCCTGCCATACCTGCCCTCCAGCCTGCACCCTAAGTCCCACCCTGCCTGCCCTGCAGCACCTGGCCCCACCCTTTGGGAGTGTCTTCACCCAGCCCTGTGGGGGCACGAACCTGGGTAAACCGGTAAGGGCATTTCCCTTGCTGGCTCTAACAGACCTAGTGGGACCTGGGGGATGTGAGCAGGGCATTTTTAGGCTGGACCCCTTTCTATGAGCATGAGTGAACCCCATAAATCCAGAGCCTGAGACAGTTTGGAGGAAACGCCCTCCAGTCTCCAAACTTGCCCAACCCAGGGCATCACCATGCCTCAGATCACTCCACCAGGGACCTCCTTTTGAGGTTAAGAAAGGCACCCTTAGGGAGCCTCATGTTTTTAAGAGTGTGAGTACCCTGGAGAGGCTGACAGCCCAGCTCGCTAATCCTTCTGAGGAGTGGCCGTGTGGGACAGGACAGGGAAGGAGGGTCTGGGTGGGATGGACTCCGTGTGAGCAGGCACTCTCCACACATGCTTCACTTCCTCTCACAATGGCTCTCATGCCCACTCGGCAGCTGGGGAAGCAGAGGTCAGAGATTAGGCCACTTGCCTGTGGTCACACAGCTAACAAGTGGCCAGCCCAACACTGCAACCCTGTACCTCAGGCCTGGGTGGATGTGAAGTGTGGGGAGGGCTGGCCCGGCCCGGCTGGGTCTTCAAGCCTGCAGTATGGGGACTAAGGCTACTCTGCGCCCCAGAGTGACTCCTGGGACCTGGCCTTCATTTGTACTACCTGATGGCCTCCCACCTTGGCACTGTGTCCAGGCAAGTCCTTGCCCCCACTGACTGCAATGCCTCCCCATTCTGTGCTGGTCTTACTCGGGAAGTAGGTGGTTGGACCCCAGCTGCTCCATGAAGGTAAAGAACGCCTCCTTCTCCCCAGCGTCAGCCTCCTCCAGCCCTGGAAAGCTGGCGACTGCAGATCCTCGCTTAGAGTGCGGGGTCCTCCGTCTGCGGAGCCTGTGGGCACTTGGGCTGGAGCCAAAGATGTTCTCTATGGGATGGAGTGAGGCAGAAGGGAGCGGAGTGGGGTTGGGCTCAGTCCCCTGACCTCCCACCTTACCCTGTTCCAGCCCTTGGGGAAATAAAGATACCTGCACAGTCACATTTATACGGGGCCACATTCATCCATTCCTTATATCAACCCTGGGAGTCAACTCAACATAGACCCTGTGGCCAATCTTACAGATGAACATCTGAGGCACAGAGAGGCCAAGACTTGTTGAAGGTCATGCAGCAGCTCCATGATAGCCAACACATTCTTTTCACTCAGTTGAGGAATATTTATCGAGCAGCTATGTTCTGGGGGGGCTTTCTCATCCCCTCCTGGCGTGACCCAGGAGCTCTGTTCTCTTACTGTATCTCTAAAATAAAAGCCTCTCCCTAGCTCTCCTAAAAAAACAAAAACAAAACAAAACAAAAAACTATGTTCTGGTAATAGAACTGGCCAAAATCCCTGCCCTAGTGGAGCTGACATTCTAGTGAGTGCTGAAAAGGACACATTTGTAAAAAGTAAATTCACTGAGTGAGCTAAAGAAATAAACAGGGTAACTTCCATTGAGATACTGGAGGAGGGTGGTCAGGAGTGCACCCAGGAAGTGACATTGGAACTGAGATGTGAGTAACAAGAAGGAGCAAGCTATGTGGATTTCTACAAAAGTGTGTTCCAGGCAGAGAGGACAGGACATGTAAAGGCCCTGAGGTAGGAGCCAGATCAGCACACTGGAGGAGCCATGGCACTGAGTGAGCCCGAGGTTGGCAGGGTTTGGATGGTGCTGCCCTGTAGGCCCCAGGAAGGGGTTTAGAGTTTGTTCCACAGGCACTGGGAAGTCCCTGGTGTGCTGGGCACAATTGGATGCAGATGTGAAGATGGCTTCTTGGGGCTGCATGGACAATGTTTCCTCTGTACCTCCCCTATCCCCTGATTGAAGGCCTCAGTTCCCCATCCCCACTTCCAGCTTCTCCATCAGCAGAGCTGGAACCCCCACCTGTAAATGAAGATCCTGGCCTCCCTCTCTGTTGTTCCCCAAACTTTTGGAGACTCAGTGGCACTGAGAACTCTGGATGGCTTTGCAGACATTTAAGGCTGAGCTGTGCTTTGTAGGGTCTCTGAAAGGACACCACACCTTCTGTTCCCTAGGCTGGAAGGTCTTCCCCCATGGACAAGATGGGTGGGAGTATTGTACCCAGCCAGCCTCAGTCTCTTTAGGTCCTTTGGGCCTGTCTTGAAAACAAGTGTTGAAGTAGCCCTGCCCAGTGGGGGCTAAGGGCCTATGAAGCTCCCAGCTCAATAAATAGCACTCTCTGCTGATCCCTGGGGCCTGAGATTCTCTTAACCAAAGCCAGAACATGAACTTCCTCCAGTGGAAACAAGGGGGTGAGGGTGGTACTCAACCTCTTGCTCAAGAGAAGCCTTTGAAGACAAGGGAGGCATCAGAAAGCAAGCCTGGGACCTCTCTGGAGGAGGGAGATGCTCAGGGGAACCCCCAGCCAATGAACTGCTCTTGCTGGTGGGAAAGGAAGCTAATAGGTCATCTGGGCTACAGTCTTAAGCCCCAGCTCTGCCTTGAACCAACTGCCTCCCCATCAGGCTTAGTGTCCTCATCTCCACAGTAATCCACGTTATCATCCGTGCCCTGAATGGCTCCCAGGCTGCTTGGAAGGTCCTCTGATTGGCAAGGTGTCACTGTTGCCTCCCGCCCCTGTGCTGGGCACACTGCATGGAATGACTGGCTGGGCAGCACATCCCCAGAGGCCCTCCCAGGACAGACATACTGAGCCCAGAGCTGAATTCTTCCAGGGAGAGACATCCCTTCTGCTCCACATCCACCCAGTCAAAGATCATCTCTGGTTCCTCCTCACTGCCCAGGAAGCTGAACTTGGCCACCTGCAAGGAAGGGACAAATTAAATTGGGCACTATTCCCACTGGGGAAGGCTCTGGGCCACCCTCAAAAGTAGGGGAGTGTTTGTCTTCAGCCACCCCCACCTCCCTCTCCCCAGTTTTGGAGTCCCACCCCCTCTCTGATCCAGGGCCTGCCCTTCAGGCCCCGGGACCCACCCAAGACAGCCCTCTCAGGAAGCCTTGAACTTCCTCCACACCTTTTCCCTCTCTCCGTCCAACATCAGGCTATCTGCTCTGAGTGTCAACCCTTTAGAACCCTGATAAAGGACTGTAGGTAATCCTCCCCAGAATGTGTTTGTCAGTATCCAAAAATTATCTGGAATTTGAAAATAAGTCCTAAAGACGGACAGCACGTCTGTTCAGTATTCTACACAGGCAAGGACGACCACAGCCTTCAGGAATGTGCTATAGGAATGTGCTGCATTCATCTCATGGGACTGATTAAAAGTCCCAGACTAAATGAAGTCATATGTTAACTTGTAGATTTTGTCCAGGAGCGATGTAAATAATTTTTATCTGATGGAACAGATAACCCCAAAGATTTACGGCCTGTTGTACATTAACCAGCTTTTAAATTCTAACTCAGCAATCTACCATTTCTTTATTAAATTACCTGGCTTTTTGAATTGTTCTTATAACCGTCCATAACATCTCTCATTCATTAATGAGTTAAGTAAAATCTTCACTACCTTAAAATGGATTCATTTTATTTTTGCTGAAGGGTCTGACTTTGCCTGTTTGAAAATCATACTTTACCAGTTTGGGTGGTTCCACGGTGATGCCCCCGTGGACTCAGCGGGCAAACAGCCTTGCTGGAGGTGCGTCCCTCATGGGCTCTGTGGACCCACGCACATTTATCCTTGGCTTGCAGAAGGAATCCCAAGTGTGATAACACTAAGTTTGCTTGCTGACTCTGTCTCTCTACTTTTTTTTCTTCTGATTTTGCATTTCTGTTTTTGGCGGCAGCAATGATGGGGAATTTGATTTGATGAACTAGCCAGTTGGTGATCTCATGGGATGCATGAAGGAGACCTAGAGTCTCTGGGTTGAGAGGCAACAGAAAGTCTGATTCGTTAATCTTTTGCTGTTGATGGTGTTTGTTTTTCTATGTTTGACCTGAAATCAGTTAAGAATTGTGTACCCAGTGGGAAGTATAGCTCTTTGAGATCTGGACTGGTGAGTTTTTGTGATTCTGTGTTTACTTCTGACCTGTGGCTGGAGTTGTAGACATGAAACCAGACACTCTCCATGTCTGTGTCTGTAATTCAGGAAGAACTTTAACTCTTATTGCATAAAAGATTTTTCTATATCTGGAGGGTATTAACAACTTAAAATACTATGTCTCTTACAGGGGTTCTGTGTTGATTGGTTTGGAAAGACAAATAAGGGTCTCCCCCAAATCAAAGAAAATAAAGAAGCTGAATTTGTAATGCTTTACTAGACTTTATAAAAAAATCCCTCTTACAAGGAATTCCTTGCTCAGAAAACTTTTAAGGAGCCAGATCCACATAATTAAGGTGAATCTTTGCACAAATTCGATTGGTTTAATAATTTTGGTTCACAAAACATAAATAATAGTTTTCTTTGTTTTCTCTAATTTAAATGGAGTATTAAACAATTATACATTATATTTTTTATAGGCTCTGGATTTGTTTTTTATGAAGAAACTAGTTAGTCTGAATTTCCTATACTTCTTATTTTGTCTTACTGATCAGATACACCAACATTATCCTTACATATGTTTTAAGATCATAAAAATGTAAATTTGTGTTCAAGTAAGTTGATTCATTATTTTAAGAAATTTTATTATCAACAGAACTTTTGATATTTTGCAGTGTGTCACCTTAAACACAGTTTGTAAGATCCATAGGAAACTTAAAAAATGTGAATTAATGTTAAATCAAGCTAATTAATAAATAATTTTTGGCTACCTGAATAATTTCTTTAAAAAATTTTAAATTAAAACATTGATTGCTAAGCATCTTTGGATCTTGTTAATGAGTGAATTCATTCTTGCCACTTTAAATAATTGTGCAAGGGAAAACAGAGTCTAAATTGGTATTCATACACCATGTTCATAACAGCACTATTCACAATAGCCAAAGATGGAAACACCCCAAATGTCCATTGACAGATGAAGGAAAGGATTAAAAAAATGTAGTATATACATGCAGTGGAATATTATTCAGCCTTAAAAAAGAATGAAATTCTGTTACATGCTATAACACAGATGAGCATTGAATATGTGATGCTAAGTAAAATAAGTCAGTCACAAAAAGACAAATACTGTATGATTTGTCTTTTATGAGGGACCTAGAGTAGTCAAATTCATAGAGACAGAAAGTAGAATCAGGGTTTCCAGGGGCTGGGGAGAGATGAGAATGGGAGTTAGTGTTTAACGGGTGCAGGGTTTTAGTTGACAAAAATGAAGCAGTTCTGGAGATGGTGATGGTGGTGGTTGCCCAACAATGTGAATGTGAACAATGCCACTGAACTCTACACATAAAAACGGTTAAAATGGCAAATTTTATGTTATGTATATTTTATCACAATTTTTTAACAGTTGTGCAAGGGATAGGTGTTGACTGTAGAAAGTAGTGTTAATGTGTATTTGTGAGCTTGGCTTGTCTACTAAAATGCTTATATAAGATAGTTCTTAATGATGTATGGCCCCATTCTTTCTGTGAAATAGAAGTCAATTACTTTGGTTGAAAGTTATAATCACTACAGATGTTTGAGACTATACGAGGAACAATAGTGACAGAGAAATACAACTATGTCTGTAAGGAAAATGTGATGTGTTTTCATTTTCCAAGGGATAAGGGGAATGGTTTTGTCTTAAGTGTCTGATTGCTCTGGAACATGAAAAAGGATAAAAAGTCAAAACCTGAATGGATATAGAGAGTTGTAATTTGCTGAAAGGGAATTTTATTTGTCTTGATTTATAATACCTGAGTCTGAAAATAAGCTATGAAATGTGTTAACATTTTGCCAAACATGGCTCAGTTTTTATGGGTTTTAAAATAACTTAAAAAAAACTTGTGAAACTTTCACTGCCACATATTAATGCTGAAATAGAATTTGACTCCATCTTTATTAAAATGATAAATTGGTCTTAGAGCTATTAGTAAGGGTTAAGCAGAGGTTACTATTTATCTTTTGGGTAAGTTGCCAGACAACTGGTTCCACATCTTAACAGAACAGTTTTCTCTTTTTTTTTTTGGCTTTATCGAGTTCTAACTTTTTAAAAAACAGAAATCTAAGGTACCTCTCTTATGAAAGAGCTAAATATCCTTTCAATCATGGTACCTTCTATATGTGTATTCCAAAAAATTTTATCTTATTGTCACTGTGATTCAATAGGTAATCAACTACTACTTCTCAGGCTCCTATGATCCTATCTTAATCTAGTGGCCCAAATCTTCTCTGATAGCTCTTCTGATTTTTCCTTCCCCAAATCAGATCCTGAATTTAGAAAAAAATTTTAAAAATGTCAGGATATCTCTCTCTTTATTTATAAAATACCTACAATGATTACAAGAGACTCATGGGCAAGAAATAACAAGTGTTGGCGAGGATGTGGAGAAAAGGACACCCAAGTGCACTGTTGTTGGGAATGTAAACTGGTGTGGCCACTCGGGAACAGAGTATTGAGTTTCCTCAAAAAATTAAAAAAAACAGAAATACCATATGATCCAGAAATCCCACTTCTGGGTGTCTAACCAAAGAAAGTGAGACTGCTCATTCAGAAAGAAATATGCATCCCCATGGTCATTGCAGCATTATTTACAATAACTAAGGCATTGAAATAACCTAAATGTCCACTGATGGATGAATGGATAAAGAAAATACGGCATATTGGAACATTATTCATCCATAGAGAAGAATGAAGTCTTGCCATTTATGACAACATGGAAGGACCTTGAGGGCATTATGCTAAGTGAAGTAAGTCAGACAGAAAAAGATAAATATCATATGATCTCACTTACAAGTAGAATCTAAAACAAACAAAAACCTGAGCTCATGGATACAGAGAATAGATTGGTGGTTGCATGGAAAGCAGGTTGGGGGAGGGCAAAAGGGTAAAGGGAGTCAAACAAGGCACAAACTTCCAGTTATAAAATAAGTAAGTCCTGGGGATGTAATGTACAGCATGGTGACTACAGCTAATAGTATAGCTATAATATATAAAAATATAATTAATAATACATATTTGAAAATAGCTAGGAAAGTGGATCTTGAAAGTCCTCTACAAGAAAAAAAGTTTTTGTAACTATGTATGGTGACAGATGTTAACTGGACTTATTGTGGTGATCATTTGCAACTTAAACAATATCAAATCATTACATTGTACACCTGTAACTAATTTTAATTTTACGGCAATTATACCTCAAGAAAGTAGGAAAAATTCATTTTCAAATGTTATAAAATTCTGACTTCAAACCTTGATGCTGAAATGTTTCTAATGTTCTTTTGGACAATGTAGATAACATATAAAGTACTTAAAAGTTCATTAAGATTGATTAATATAGTTGTATTTAACACCTGCTCCTAAAAGATAATGAGCTGATATTACCAATAAAGAAAAATCTTACATTACTTGATGCATTTAGAAGAAGATAAAAACCGAGGCTTTTAACCTGTAACAAAATCTGGTAGTAAATATGGCTTGGATTCAAAAAGATGAAAAAGAGTATCCTGAGAAGAACTGTCAAATCAGTAGAAATGTTCAGCCTTTCCTAGGCTAAGTTTACTTAGGTAAAGTGCTACTAATGTAAATCTTTCAGGAATTGTGTGCTTCTTGGGAAGGCCCTGGAGAGTCTCAATGCTTTTGCTATCTATAATGTATCCTTATCTTCAGGAGAATTACCGATTGAACCCTTGTGAAATAGTTATGTACTGTATCCAAAGAAAGAATTTCCTCTCCTCCACTCTGATATAATTAGTTACTGTAATAATTAACCATGGCCTTTCAGTCTCATTACTAGATAAGTTTCTGTTTTCCTACCCTTGCCTGAAAGCTGTGTTAAAAGCTGGAAGACACAGTTTGTGTCTTCCACAAAGAACACACTTAAAGCCTTGTGGAAAAGGACTGTGCCAGGTTCTCTGAAGTCTTGGTGCCTCACTTGGATTCTGAGCTGACATTAGCTGACCTTCACACTGAGCTAGTGAACTGACAACTTCTCGGACTCTTTCGAATCCAGAGGCAGCCACCTCACTCAAGATCAGGCAGAACAAGAATTAATTACATGAAGGGTTCAAGGAAACCCAGTTGTGGTTATTTGTAGGGCATATAGATGGTATTATTTTTTATTGCTCTATTTTTATGGATCAATGAGGAAGTTCTTTCTCTGTCTTCTGGAGCTATCTCTAATCTTCAGTTTAGTAGATTATTGCTTTTGTGAACTGAAATTAAACTGAATTTTAAGTTGTGGCTGTATCTCACTGACCCCCTCCTGATTCAGGAACCAATACATTTACTGGATGTCCTTTCTTTCCATGGCAATATAGTTATTTACACAGGTTCAATAAGAATCAGTCCTCCTTTCAGCTGGGATATAGTTGGATAAATCAGTTGTGTAACTGGTGTGTCATATTGGAGAATGATTCTCTTTAATCAGGTGTGACAAGTCCACTATAAGGAACACTGATGGAACCAATGCCTGCAAAGCCCTCTCGAGGAAGCTGGCCTGGAACCAGGTGGTAAGGAAGGCCACTTCTGCGCAGGAGGGGGACCTTAGGAAAACTGGGAACCTCAAGAAGAAAGGAAGTCCCCACATTTACTGGGGCTGCAGATAGAGAGAAAGTCTTGGGCTTAGTTTCTTAGCCTTAGGATAGAAATGGGGTGGCCAGCTTGACCCAGTTTGCCTAAGACTTCCCCAGTTTTAACACTGCAAGTCCTATATCCCAAATTCCCCTCCAGTCTCAGACACCTGGGACAGACGGTCACTCTAGATATAGGAGCAAACAATAGAGGTTTAAAAGTCCAACCTAAGGCTCCATATGAAAACTTCTGGACAGAAGCTAATAGCTTAATACCTCCCCAAGCCCATATTTGCAAACTCAAGCAGACCCACATATTTTGTTTACACCCGTGCTGCACGTATGGAAATAATCAAGCCAAACTTATGAGACCTGTCTTTTGTTGTTGTTGTTGTTGTTATCATAAATCTACAATTACATGAAGAACATTATGTTTACTAGGGTCCCCCCTTCACCAAGTCCACCCCACAAACCCCATTACAGTCACTGTCCATCAGCATAGTAAGATTTGTAGAATCACTACTTGTCTTCTTTGTGTTGCACAGCCCTCCCTGTGCCTCCCCCACACATTATACATGCTAACATAATACCCCCTTTCTTCTTCCCCACCCTTATCCCTCCCTTCCTTCCCATTCTCCCAGTCCCTTTCTCTTTGGTAACTGTTAGTCCATCCTTGGGTTCTGTGATTCTGCTGCTGGTTTGTTCCTTCAGTTTTTCTTTGTTCTTATACTCCACATATGAGTGAAATCATTTGGTATTTGTCTTTCTCCACTTGGCTTATTTCACTGAGCATAATACCCTCTAGTTCCATCAATGTTGTTGCAAATGGTAGGATTTGTTTTCTTCTTATGGCTGAATAATATTCCATTGTGTATATGTACCACATCTTCTTTATCCATTCATCTACTGATGGACATTTAGGTTGCTTCCATATCTTGGCTATTGTAAATAGTGCAGCGATAAACATAGGGGTGCATCTGTCTTTTTCAAACTGGAGTGCTGCATTCTTAGGGTAAATTCCTAGAAGTGGAATTCCTGGGTCAAATGGTAAGTCTATTTTGAGCATTTTGAGGAACCTCCATACTGCTTTCCACAATGGTTGAACTAATTTACATTCCCACCAGCAGTGTAGGAGGGTTCCCCTTTCTCCACAACCTCGCCAACATTTGTTGTTGTTTGTCTTTTGGATGGTGGCCATCCTTACTGGTGTGAGGTGATATCTCATTGTGGTTTTAATTTGCATTTCTCTGATGACAAGCGATGTGGAGCATCTTTTCATGTGTCTGTTGGCCATCTGAATTTCTTCTTTAGAGAACTGTCTATTCAGCTCCTCTGCCCATTTTTTAATTGGATTATTTGCTTTTTGTTTGTTGAGGTGTGTGAGCTCTTTATATATTTTGGATGTCAACCCTTTATCGGATCTGTCATTTATGAATATATTCTCCCATACTGTAGGGTACCTTTTTGTTCTATTGATGGTGTCCTTTGCTGTACAGAAGCTTTTCAGCTTGATGTAGTCCCACTTGTTCATTTTTGCTTTTGTTTTCCTTGCCCAGGGAGATATGTTCATGAAGAAGTCGCTCATGTTTATGTCCAAGAGAGTTTTGCCTATGTTTTTTTCTAAGAGTTTTATGGTATAATGACTTACATTGAGGTCTTTGATCCAATTGGAATTTACTTTTGTGTACAGGGTTAGACAGTGATCCAGTTTCATTCTCTTACATGTAGCTGTCCAGTTTTGCCAGCACCATCTGTTGAAGAGACTATCATTTCCCCATTGTATGTCCATGGCTCCCTTATCATATATTAATTGACCATATATGTTTGGGTTAATGTCTGGAGTCTCTAGTCTGTTCCACTGGTCTGTGGCTCTGTTCTTGTGCCAGTACCAAATTGTCTTGATTACTGTGGCTTTGTAGTAGAGCTTGAAGTTGGGGAGTATGATCCCCCCCACTTTATTCTTCCTTCTCAGGATTGCTCTGGCTATTTGTGGTCTTTGGTATCTCCATATGAATTTTTGAAGTGTTTGTTCCAGTTCGTTGAAGAATGTTATTGGTAATTTGATAGGTATTGCATCAAATCTGTATATTGCTTTGGGCACGATGGCCATTTTGACAATATTAATTCTTCCTAGCCAAGAGCATGGGATGAGTTTCCATTTTTTAGTGTCCTCTTTAATTTCTCTTTAGAGAGACCAGCCTTTTTATATCAAGGATAAACTTTGGAGATTATCTGTGATCACAGCAAAAGTATCTGAAACTTGGAAATAAGGCAAAAAGGTAGACAGCATGTCCTTTCAAGCATTGTCTAGACTAAAGGAATGGACTTAGTTCATCTCATTGTCTACCTTTAATTAAAAGCCCCAGACTTAGCTGAAGTTCCTTGTTAATGTGTAGGTTTTTGTGCAAGAGAAATGAAAATAATTTTTGTCCAGTAGCACAGATAATTCCAAAGATTGATGGCCTGCTGGATATTAGCCATTTTCAAAATCAAACTTAGCTCTCTTATCCTAACACTCTTCTGTCAGATTGCCTATAAATATCCTGGCTTCTCAAATGCTCTTTGAGCTCATCTTACTGGTTCCCTCGTTAATTAATAATAATAATTAATTAGATAAGACCTTTGATCATTGTTACTTTTACATTTACTTGAAAGTCTTTTTTCTTTTTTTTTTCCCTCTTGAGAATTATGCTTTAACATCAGCCATTCACACATTGTGGCCCTGAGGGTAGAGTATAGGAAAGGTCAGTTTTGATGGGGGAAGGACAAAATCTGGAGCATGGAGTAGTATCTGGAGAAGACAGCAGACTCGGTGAAACACCAGCAACCCACACAGGTCCCTTTGCCAGAAATGAGGAACAGTCAAAGAAAAAACAATCTTGGTCCAGGTCAAAGCCTGTGACTCCTTATCAGGACACACAACTGGGCAGATCTTATGTTTCACTGGAGTTTATAGTCATTGACATGGTTTTATTTCTAGGACTCTGACTGCTCCCTAAGATAAACTTCCTTGCTCAATAGGCCTAACGTTATGCCACTTGCAAGCTACTTCTTTGGCCTGAAGTCATTTCTTTTGTTAAAATGCAAATATATCTCTAAAAGGGTAACACATAAAGCCTTACCAGTCATTTACATGTTAGTATAAACAAATTCCTAGCCAGCCTTTTCTGAGAGCAAGTTCTAGGTGAGAGAAAGGAGAAAGAGCAGGCAAGCCCTGTCTCAGGAGGCTGCAGAAAAGGCATTTGGGAATGGACAGGGTCTTGGACTCACCGCCAGGTCCTCTCGGGTGACAAAGCCCCTCTCCTTGGCGCCACAGTCCTGGAAGAAGGCCTGCAGTTCTGCAGCTGCCTGGGAGGACCAGGATTCTGACTCTGGGGCCATGAGGGCATCCTGGCCATCAGCCGGTTCTCGTGTCTGCCACCGGCGGCTGGAGCCCAGCTTCCGGCCTTTTCGGGACACTCTCTGTCCACTCTCCATGCTGCTTTTGTCTAGGGACAGAGGAGTGATGAAGAGGCACTGGGCTACTGAACACAGTCACTCCCTGCTAAAAACCCTCCCATGGCTCCCCATTATCCCTGTAAACAATCTACCGTGGCTGATGAAGGCCTGCCTGATTGGACCCCTTCTGGCCTCCCTGCCCTCCTCACGGTCCCCACCATCGCCTCCAGCCATCCCACTCATGGCCTTGGTCCTTTCTGTTCCCTCTACCGAGAATGCACTTCCCCAAGCTATCTCAGATCGCTGCTCAAAAGTCTTCTCTGGCCACTATATAGAAGAGCCCCAGTGCAGTATATGCTCTATTTTTTGACTAGGGCTGGTGACACAGAGCCATCCAGGATCTCACTGTTGGAAGGACCAGAAACGGCTTGCTGAGCCGCCCCTCCTGTTCCTCTGGCTCATTTCCTCACATCTCACTTTCTGGGAGGGGAGCTTTCCACCAGTGCCTTCTCCCTCTCTGTCTCCCCTCACCACCAACCTTTTTTTCCCCCTTCAACACCATTTCTCTACTCCTTCAACACATGCACCAGGGAATCAGTAGCTCTTATGGCCTTGCACGTTGTGGCCCCTGCTTCACCCCCCACCACACACCCTTGCTGTCCACATCGACCTTTCTGAACCGCTCTCCCATCCAGAAAGGCCATATTCTCTCCCACCTTTTGTTCTTTTTGCCCCGACTTCCCTGATTATCTTACCTCACTGCCTACCTGATATCTCTTCTTCTTTCACCTTAGAGACAATTTCTTCTAAGACTTCCCTGCAGCCACCCCCACACTTTAAGCAGAGTTCAGTGCCCTCTTGTCTGTGGCCCTGTGATGCCCTGGGCTCCCCCTACGGATGTCACTGTGGGCCTTGGTCTGTACTGTTCCCAGCTCCTTGGCATATTGTAGGTGCTCAAGTAAGGGTTGTTCAATTTACTAATTGGGGTCCTTTTATCTGTCACTGGAAGGCCTTAGTTAATTGATAAGGATTTTGATGGCTAAGTATTTGTGTAGGTGAGGCCCCAGGGCAGGAGAGAGGGAGGCTGGAGTCTAGAAGTGGTACAGTCTAGCCCTGCCCTGTGGGAGAATAAGTCTGGGGCACCAAACTGTATGGGGTGAGAGAAGCTTGATGTGCACATAGTCAGGCAGCTTCCTGCAGGCAGTGGGACTTAAGCTAAGCCCTAAAGGGAGCAGGTAGGATTTAGAAGCAGTGAACAGCACATGCAAAGGAACTGAAGTAGTAGGAACAAGAAGCTCCCAAGGGCTCTTTTTGTTGGGGTCAAAGATCACAGCCAGACTGAGTGGAGGGGTCAGGGATGATGGGCTTATCCCAGGGATCTGGAGCCACCGGTCCAGCATCCTCTTGGGCAAGTTCCTTCACACGGCTTGCACAGGACTTGAATCCCATACACTGGGAGGCTTCCATACTTGAGAGTGAGGTCGACCCTCTCTCTCTCCACCACTCTTTCTTCCTGCCTGTTTTGTCTCTCTGTTTCTTTCCATCCATCTCTCTGGGGCCTTCAAAGTCTGTTTCAGATGCAGTTTTAAGATCGTAAATGTAAAGCTGCAGCAGTGTGCTGCAGCCAGATCTTAGGAGCTTGCAAGAGCTAATTGTGAACATTGCTTCCTAACTCAGTGGCTTGGAATCAGCCACTGTGGGACTGTTTATATTATGTGGATTGACAAATGGTCCAAGTCAGGACATTTTCCCCCACTAAAGAACAGTTACCAGTACACCTCTTCTGGGAAGACTTCCTTACCAGGATCTAGCCCAAACCCCTCCCAAGATCTAGCATGCGGCTAAGTGACAAGCATTTACAGAGCACCAAACGAATGTGGCACAGAGGTTAGCAGACCTGCTATAGTGCACGTGGTTCCATTAGCAAATTAGGAAAAGGCGTCCCTTCCTCCTGGCAATCTGTCCCACCTTCTTGATCCACAGCTGTGGAAAAGGAAGCCCAAGAGAGAAAGTGACTTCCAGCCACAGTGCTCTGGAGTCAGATGAACTTCTGCCTCTCCCAGCCCTGCCACTTTTTAACTGTGTGACCTTGAGCAAGTCACTTAACATACCTGTGCCTCAGTTTCCTCACTAGAATATGCAACTAATGTCTATCACACAGCACTGCTGTGAAGATTAGATGAGATAATTAACATTGAAACACCGTTCTCCAGCACAGGCTGCCCCCCTTTCTGGTTTCCTTTTATGATATGTCACTTTCCAAGAATAAAGTCTTTTACTCATTTATTTAGTAAATTTCCATCTCCTCTTGCTGAAATATAAGCCTCACATGGTCAAAGGTTTACTCTTATTTCCTGTGTTGCCCCCAAATGCCTTAACAGTGCCTGTGTACAGTCGGCACTCAGAAAATATTTTTTGAATGTACAATCCACATAAACCTCTCACAGCTATGCCCAGCATGTAATAATTTTTGGGTAAAGGGAGGCAATTACAATGGTGATGACAACATAAATGAGGGTGAAATTCCACTTGAGCCTCATAAAAGCCGGGCACTGTACAGATAAGATTTTTTTCCCGTTTGACAGATGAGGAAACTGAGCACAGCAACCTGCCCAAGCCATAACGCCAGTTGCAAAACTGGCACCAGATCTGCTGTCCTGGTTGGTCTTGAGATGGACTTCCCCAAGACCACTTCCTGGAGAGGCACCCCCTTCAGTGGGCACATGGCCCCTCTGTGGACCACAGATGTCCAATGGAGCAGCCGTGGGTGGGACAAGGGTTTCAGAGCAGGGCAGAGTGGGCAGGCTTTGCTGGGGGTTGCAAACTTAGAAACTCAAGTTTCACATATACTTCCGCTGATGGAGATAACACACACGAGGCAGCAAGATAAGCTTTCCAGTGCAGAAGCTTCTAGAACCAAAGCACTGGGGGAAGAGTCTGCTGTGATGTGGGTGCCACATCACTGAGTAAAGGAAATTAGGATCCTGAAATAAATTCCCTGGGGCCACATGTCAGGACATGGGATGCTGTTGGCATCCCTTTCAGGGAGATCCCAGTCAAGTTGCCCCTCTAGAGCCCATTGTCCCTTGGCATTTTATAAGAAAGGGGCTCTTCCAGACACCTTGGCTAGTCCCTGCCCTGCCACAGGCCTCAGCATCAGTACTCCGAGCCAGTCAGTCCTCCTTTCCCCGGGGGCCACTCAGTGGCCTGGCAGAAAGGCAGCAGGTGCCCTACCAAAACACTGCCCCAGAGTACTGGCAGTCTACTCCCCACTCACGGCCTTACAGCATAGCCTAAATCTCCACTCAGAGACAGTGGAGACACCCTCCATCCGATCCTCACACATGTCCATGCATGCACAGACTCCCCTCAGCCAGCTCCCACTCAGTCAGCCATCACCCACCACTCCTTATGGTCAGCTCTCTCCCAGTCGGACATGACACCGCCCACGGCCAATGGTATGTCTGAAGGAAGGCCCTGTCCACTCAGAGTCACTCAGAATAACACCCCTCAAAGTCTGCCATCAGCACCCCCTTTTCTGCCACATTCCCCTTACTGGACATTCACTCCCTCACATCCTTAACAGTCAGGGCCTCCTTGTGACCAGGACCACATACGCACACCCTTCCCACACTGCTCCCTCACATATTCCTTCAAGAAATCACACACAACCAACTTGAGAGCAAGGGAATTCTCCTCCCAGGTATCTACAGAATCAGCTCCCCACTACGGGATTCGGTTAGGGGAACTGGCACCATAGGCCTTGGGTCAGGAAGCAGAGTGGATAAGGAGGGGACCGAAGGAGAATTACAATATGACACCTGCAGGTACCTTGGGGCTTTGCTCAGTTCTGTCATTCTCTTACCACAGGGACAAGCAACTGGCTCTGCTCTTTACCCACTTCCTTCAGGGACTACAAATAATAGCAATAATCACAGAACCCAAATTGTCCAAGCTGGTGCATCTGGGAGACCACCTGGTGCCTCGTTCTCATCTCCTTACCCTCACTAACTTGATAGAGAAGCCAAGGCTCTGAGAAGCCAGATGACTTGCCCAAGGTCACACAGCCATGTAAGGGTAGGAAATCAATTCCAGTCTCCAGCCCCAGTGCTCTCCATTAGACTGTGCACAGAGCTCCAAATTCCCAAGAGCAGAGGAGCTAGGTGGGGACCGCCGCTCCCTCCCACCTCTCACCCCTCCAAAGAAAAGCATTGTAATTCCAGGCAGCTCCCACCTCTCAAAGGCTCCCAGTCATGAACGCAGCCCTGTGCCTCCTGGACCTGGTGATGAGGCAACCACTGCCCCGAGGAGCCCGGGAGCTCTGTAACTGTTAACAGCCTTGTCTCTTGCCTAATCACTCTTTCCGTTCCCCAGCTAGCAGATCTCCTGTGTTCATCTGTGGGACTTCCTGTAGACGTGAGTCTGGGCTATCCTTTCACAATCTCCCCTAGTACTCCTGGGGCCCCCTGCCCTAGAATCCTGGAACTGGAGAATGCTGGAGCTAAGAGAGAGGCCCTTCTAAACAGAGGTTCTGAAGATGGGCTGTTCAAGGTCACCCAGACTTCAATGGCAAAGCCAGAACCTGCTCCTGAGTCTTGTTGCCAGGGTGATGCCATGCCTTATCCCAGCCACACTGCTGATAGGCACAGTATGGCTAAAGCTGGACATATGAGCTGTCCAGGGGTAACTGCCTTATACCATGTCTTACCTCAGGTTCTAACTCTCAGACAGTGTCTTGGAATACTGGGAAGGCTTACATCCAAATTATCTTCTGGAACATAGTCTAACCTAATACCAAAATACGTTGTGGTGCTACAACCATCAGAACAGTGGGGTACTGAAGTCTGAAAATACTTGTATGAATCAATGGAACAGAATAAAGAAGAGATAAGAATAGACTCAAATACACAAGGGAATTTCATGTATGATAAAAGTGGCATTTCAAAGCAGCAGATAAAAGATGGTTTATTTTATAAATCACAGGGAGAATGGGCTAAAGTTGAAACTCTAATTCCAGATGGATCATAAGTTTAAGCATTAAAAAATCATAACATCAGATGCTATTTGGAATTTGCTTCAAAATAATGGAGGGGTGGGGAGAATTGGTGGGGAAGAGATGAAATAAGACTGGCCCTGGCCCCATTCTGATTACTGTTGAAGTTGGCAAGGACACTTCTGGCTCATTCTATTCTCTCTGCTTTTGTGTAGGTTTGAGTGAATGCAGTAAGAAGTCATGATATAATTTTTAAATAATCTTGGGGCAGGCAAGGCCATTCTAGGCATTGACAAAGCATTAGAAGCTATAAAAGAAAAGATTGAAAAAAAAGAAAAGAGGAAAGATTGAGACATTTGACTACATCAAAAATTTTAAAATAAAATGACTGAAAGGCAAAGAAATGTCATTATTGACAAGTCAAAGGTAAAGTGTGAAAAAATAATCATATCATAGACAATAAGCTAATATCCTGCTTATATCATATTTTCTACAGATCACTGAAAAACGAATAATGCATTAGAGAAATTGGCACCATATATGAATAGACAATTCATGGGTGAAAATCAATGGCTTTTAAATACATGAAAAAATGTTTGTTTTTACTTATAATAAAATAAATTTAAAAAAACTATAATGCAATATCATTTTCAGTTATCCAATTGGTAAATCAAACACAAAACTGGTAACACAGTGTTGTAAAGAATGTAGGGAAACATTTTCACATATTGTTGTAAGATAAACTGGTATATCTTTCCTGGAAAGAAACATAGTGATGTTTATCAACATTTAAAATGCAAAGAGCTTTTCACTCAGCAATTTCACTTCTGGTCATTTGTCCTACAGGTGATGTGAAAAATGACAATATGAAGGGATATTCATGATAGCATGTCTGTAGTAGCAAAGGGTTGGAAACAACATAAATTTCCTTTAACAGAGAAATGGTTAAATAAGTCCATAGAGTGACTACTATGCCGGTGTGAAGACAATGAGAAAATGCAGGGGGACTGATATGAAATGACCTTCAAAATACATTGTTAAATAAAAAAAGTAAGGTGAGGAACAATGAGTTAATGCATTGCATGAAGAAAAAAGTGTATGTGTGGTGGATGAAATTATGCTATATCAATGCACATGCATTCATATACATTTGTAAATGCATAGAATATTTCTGGCAATATACTAGAAACTGGTACTAGATGAGCTGGAGAGAAATGTGGGGATGGAGAAGGAGGGAATCTTATGTTTCACTGTTTGTATTGTATTGTACCATCTTTATATATTACCCAACTCAAAAACAAATTTAACAATAATTTGTACATATTCAGAGAGAGAATGATAAAGGAAATGTGGTAAAATGTTGACATTTAAGTACTATTGATGAAAAATTGTGGGAATTATGTTACTTTTTTTGCAACTTTTCTGTATGTCTGAAACAAAACTTTTGAATTTATTAATTTAATTTCTAAATAAATACATACTCTTAAACCAACCATCCTTTTTAACCTGTTTTTATAGTTGAGGAAATTGATACTCAGAGAGTTTTCATAGCTTTATTGAACTAAATGTTTTTATTCAGCAAATATTTACTGAGCACCTACTATGTGCCAGATACCATGTTAGGCACTAAGGATGCAAAAGTGAAAAACAAATGGAAAGAAGTAACATAATGTCCAGTAGCAATAATGGCTATGAGGAAAAGTAAGCAGCATGAACAGATAGAATGGTGGGAGGTATAATTTAGATGGGGTGGTTGGGGAGGATGTCTGCCAAGGTGATAACGGAGTAGAGCTTGTGAGGAAGAAGATCTGAAAAGGGAGTGTTCAGACAAAGGCCCTGAGGCAGGAGCATGTGTACGTGAGAAACAGTGAGACCAGTGTGGCTGGAGCAGATAACAGAGGGAAGAGTGGAGAAGAGAAGGTCAGAGGTAAAGACAGGAGGAGCTGTTGACCATATAAGGTTTTTTACTTTAAGGGAGATGGAAGAAGTGATGGCTTAGATAAGGACACCTGTGGAAATGATGGCCAGGTGACTGGACCCTGGATGTATTCTGAAAGTAAGGGCAACGGTGTTTCTTGCTGGACTGGACAACCTGCAACAAATCCAATAACTTGTTCTTTTCCAAAACACTCTCCTCTTCTCTGGGAACTGAGGGAATTGGATTTTGAAGACCCAGCCTCCAAGATCTCAAGGCAATCTCAGTTCATTTGCCATCCCTTGCACCAGCCCACCTCCCAACTATGGAAATAAAAGGGGTCTGGAGATGGCAGGGGGTGGTCATAGCCCTGTCTGGTGAAGCCTGTAGGTGGTGAGAGCTCAGCCTGGCCTCACCCTCTGCACCAGCTCCAGGGGAGAAACCCGTGCAGGAGCCAGCTGGCAGGGGGACATAACCAAGTGCTAGGAACAAAGTCAGATCCAGGCCTTTTTTGGAAACAGCCGAGCTAATGTGAAAATATAGTGTTGCTGGACTTTAAAAACACTGAGTTCAGAAACTGAATTTTACAAAAATTGAATCAATGAACAAGGATCAAAGACAGTGAGACTGTTTTGTGAATGGGAAAGTTTACTGCTCACTAATTTTCAATTCCCTTAATATGGTTTGGTTCACTTCACCATTTAGTAAACTCTGAAGCATGATACTGCCTGCCCAGGGCTGCAGTGGTGAGTGAGACCTGGGTCTCCCTGCCTCCAGCTGCTGGCTCCCAACTATCTAGAAGGCAGACTGGCAGTCTGGCAGGAAACCATGGCCAGGGAGCTTGAAGTTGCATTTGCATAGCGTGCTTTATGCAGGGTTGAGAAAACTGAAGTTACAGCTGACTAGGGAGTGGCACAGTAGGAGATAGGTGCCCAGTACCTCCTCCTAGAGTTGTCACAGTGGTAGTGGCCCTGGGTGAGGCACTTCCCTTTCTGGCTTATCGAGCAGGCGGTATGACCTGGGTCATCGGCATGAATATCCTGGCTCCCCGCTACTTCCTAGCGGTGTGATCTCAGGCAAGTGACTTAAACCTTGTTGCTTCAGCTTCTCTTCAGTAAAATAGAGGCAATCATAGAGCCCACCTTGTAGCTGTGTTTAAGGATTAAATGCTGTAAACCATTAAATCAATGTAAAGCATTTAGAACCATGTTAGGCAGATGATCATCCATGTGAGTTGTCATTTTTGTGACTGTTAAAAGGAGACTGAGTTAGAGACTCTTCAGCACCTCCATGCCACCAATTTGCCCTGTTCATATGCCAGCCTGATTGTTAAGTGATGAGGGGCAGTGACCTGGGAGCTGGACAGGATCAGGTAGAGTCAAGGACTGAGGCCAGGTGGGGTTTGGGAGATGAGTGCTCAGGTCACAAAGGAGATTCAAGCCATGGTGAATCATTCATTCATTCAACAACTATTGATTGAGTACCTACTATGAGATGGGCACTTTTTAGGTACTGGGACACAGGCAAAAACAAAACAGACAGAGACCTACCCTCCTGGAGCTCACATTTCTCCATGCTGGCGGGGAGAGGTGAAGCCATGGTGAGTTTGGCCGGCATGCTCACCTGGGTACTAAGCAGGCAGGCTAAAGGGTAGTTTCAGAAGCCACTGCTGGTGTCCCGCCCCAGGCTCACAGATGTGTTCACCTGATGCTTTAGCAACTAGCTCCTAGAAGGACTGTAGCTTCTCCCTTCAAATCCTTCCATTTTTCTCCAGCATCACAGACACTTGCTCCACCTTTAAGAGCTGTCTTGCCAATGGGTTTCAGCCCCGGGCAAGTTCACTATGGATTTAATGTGAGTGACCAAAGAAATGACAGTAGAACATTCTTGGGGTGAAAGAGTTATACCCAACTTTATTCCCACGGTGGCAGGTCAATCACCAGAATCCCGTCTGCATGCATCAAGCCGGTCTCTGCCTCTGGGCCTCTGTCCTCGGGGCAGCCACCACTCGAGCCTCTGCTCTCTTGCAGCAGTACGACTGTGCTGCCCAGAGCACTGGGAGGGGCTCTCTATACAGAGTCAATAATGACGCATTAGCCACACGAGTGTAGTGAGCTAGCCAACCAGGGCCAGGTGAGAATCCTGGCCACAGGAACCTTTATTTTATCCACAGGGGCAACCTGGTCTTGCCCCCAGGGACGGCCCTTAATCAGATGGAGTCGGTAGTTAAGTACCCCAGCAGTACTCAGGCAAGTATCCTAGAGGAACAATTCTTGGGCATGCTCCACGTGGCCTCAGACCTCCCAGCGGGTTAAGTCCCAGCTGCAGCCAGCAGAATGTGCTCATAAAGCCTTTATTGGCTTTCCTTTCTCACATTCCCTTCTCCTACCTGGACTTTCAGGGACCAGCTCCCAAGTAAACCACTTTATCTTGCCAGTGGGTTTCAGCTCTGGGCAAGTTCACTCTTGATTTTCTGACACCAAATAATGACAAAGGAACATTCTTGGGGTGAAAGCGTTTCTACCCAACTTTATTCCCATGTAGTCAAGTGCTAGAATCCTGTCTGCCTCAAAGCCAGACTGCATGCAGCAAGCCTGTCTCTGCCTCCGGGCCTCTCTGCCCCCACAGCCCTCTCCATCCGTCCTTGGTGCTGCCACCACCCCAACTTCTGCTCTCCTGCAGCACGGGGTGGAGCTCTTTATGTAGAGTCAGTAACAACATATTGCTCACATGTATGCAGTGAGCAAGCGGACCAGGGCCAGGTGAGAATCCCAGCCGCAGGAACTTCCATTTTCTCTACACCCTGTGCAACTCTTGTCTCAGGTTGCTTTCGAGAGGAAAACAATGTAAGATAGTTGGGACCAGAAATGACAGAAAGCAGGATGGGCTTCTGGGAGTGATCTCTTACCAGTGAGCTGACACTGGGGCCCCTCTATGAGGGGCGGTGCTAACGG